TGAAAGTCGATAGCACTACCTCCATATATGCACATTTAACACCAAGTATACAACCAGTTAAATTCAGTCCCACTTAGGGGTTTAGAAAGTCTATACAAGAGTAATGGTACAGCAATCTAGCACCATCTAGTGAACTTTTATTTCAATCACATGATGTCCTCAGAAAAGGTCATACTCCTCTTGATTCAGAATATGAAAAGACTCAATCAAGTCTGTCAGTTGGTATGGCAACACAAACTCATGTGGCAGTGGAGTCTGTTATCATCAGAATCAAGTGTATTTCAACTGTCAGAGAGGATACTTAACACACTTTATACACTTACAAAGATAAAATGTTGAATAAAAACATTGTGGTCCTGTTAGAAAAAAATAATTCAATTATCTGTAAAGTTATTTTCATCAAGGATATTTACAGTATTTGCATTAATGTAAACCTGAACTACATTTTACAATTTCATTTGCCATTTGATCAGTTAATAATAACATTATTTCAAATAATTCCATAATTTTTGCAGCATTTGCGACATTTAACCGTTGCATAGTCAACTCTATTTTTTGCTTGTAGCTGTTTATTCACCTAATTTACAGCCAGGCTGGATAATGTGATGATACATAGACACATGTTGGACTTTTGAACAATGCCCATGAGCCCCAGTTTTTACTTTTAAGGAGAAAAGGCAGAAATAGAAGCACAAATCAGAGCTATATTCAAAATGCTTATCTGTTCCAACTTGTTAGTTGTTGAATTCATCCAGAATTAACCCAGAATTTGAAAGTGAACTGATTTAAGATGCTCATGTCTCCACAAAATATAAACTTGGCTTTGGTTCGCAGTCAGTGTGAGCGACAGAATTTTAATCTCAGCAATTTGATGTTTCATACCAAAAAGCACCATGGGAGTCATAATTGTCCTCTCTCCTAACAATTTTATGTACATACGTGTTCTGTTTTAGCAAAGAACCAGATATTGCTCGTCCTTTGTGCTGGTGATTTAACCAGGAGAGTATGTCCATCCAAGCCTCCCAGTCACTGGACATCAGAAATACCTTCTCTCACTTCACAGCTCTGTATGTCGGCCAGGCTGCTCAGTAAGCCTGGGTTACAGGAATCTTTCAGGACAAATCTCCACATTTATAAATGCTAAAAAAAGGTCTTCCCCATTTCCAGATAATAGTTGCATAATTTAGAGTGTACCACTGAGCCCTGGTATTGTTTCTGCATGGGGTCATTGTTCTGTCTACACTTAAGGATAAATATTACAGCAATTGCAAAAGAGACACAAAACTGGTTGAACACAGCTTTCTCATCGTTTCACTGCCTTGTAATTTTTTTTTTTTTGATGAGACATGTAAAAAAAACAAAACAAAAAAAAAACAAATGAAAACCTTAATACCTATGTTTTTCCAAACTTCATTCCTGGATGTGTGTGCAGGTGTAATAGTACTGTCAGCCTCCCTCAGTCAGCCTGTCATTAGACTACAATAAAATAGCATGATACTAATGCACACATACAGATTGTTTTGCTAAATGTGAAATTATTAGAACAACTTGTTCAAGTCAAATAAATTTAATGTGAAATCTGTAAGATTTAGCTGCTCATGTGCAGTTGCTCTGAACTGAATCTGACCTTCAGCTGTGGACTGGTTCTTTTGTCCTATAGTGTCAGATGAAAGTCAAGTAAGGAGCTGCTGTGTTATGTTTGACCTAAGCTTTATTGAACAGGTTCACAGAGTAATCCTGATTCTCAGGAAAATCTCTCCCTTTCAAATTTTGATTGTAGGTGCCTACTGAGTGTTTATTCAAAGCCTGTAGGAGACTAAAACCTTGAGTTTTAAAAAGAGTGGAAGGTTCGTTTGCAGTTAGTGAACTGTGTTTTACAGAGCCCTGGTCTTTTGATAATCAAAGCAGACACATTTATGGATCAAAACATTTATGGGAGATGAGCTATCAAGCTGAACCACTACAAGGATGGATTAAGGCAGCAGAAAAAAACACCAGTGAACAGATAAGATCTAAATTTCTTGCTCTCATCCACATAGCTTAGAAAGTTCGCCAAATGTCCGCTCAGATCTGCGAATAAAATATACAATTGTGTTTTTTTTTTATCATTATTATTCATTTATTTGTTTGTTTTTTGTTTTGTTTTTTTATTGATCTCTCACATTTCAGCATTTTTATTCATAAAATTGTTGAGGACACTGAATTTATGAGTTGTCTTATGTTTTATATTTGTTTTTATCTTGCCAAGGGAATTTGTCTTGGTGTTCAGGGTCTGTATTATCTGTAGGCATTACACCACAGTGGCTCTAAAGTACCAACTTTAGAGTAAAAACCTTTTTTGGCTGAGTGTGGGCAATATTATATATATATGTTTATCAAGTGACTTCCTCCTACTCACAGCAAAGTGTGAAAGTAACTTTTAAGAGCAGCCTTCAAGTGATCACATGACTGATCACATGTATGCTCAGAGAAGGAATAGCTAATCACAGATATAGACTGACACTACCTCTGTTATGTTTTTTCTTTAAAAGAAAATCCTTACAGTTTATTCACTGGTTTGTTATTCTGCAGGAACATATATCCTTTTTTTCATTTTTCAAAAATTCATATTATTAGTGTGCAACCTCTGGGAATAATTGAAATGGGAAAGTAACAACAAACAAAGTAACAACAATCTAATAGGTTTATCAACATAAACTAATAGGGATGAAATAATAGGAAATAGGTTGAAATGGAAACAAAATTCTGCTGCAAGACATGCTGTTGGTAGATGAGGAAGAGAAATCATATAATAAAGAGAATTTAGTACCACACTGACATGCAGTGAAGTGCAGATGATGAAGACAGTTGCACACAGACAATTGCAAATAAAGTCAATGCCAGATCAATTCTTGTTGTGTTTGCACCCCTGATAAATGCCAAGAAAAAAGACAAAGAAAATCCTATCAAATGTTCAAAAACAAATAATCAACTAAAAGTACTCTTTTCTTAATTATACTGCTTCAGCTAATGTATTATTATTATTGTTATTGCTCTGTTTCTGTATAGCAGCCATCTAGGATCTATTCTTTTCATCAGCATTCACTAGCACTAACCAAACAAGCAATACCGGACATATTAGATACAAATTATATTCAAAGACATTCAGACAACAATTCCTCTACTACTCTATCATGATCTAATTATCTTCTTTGTGATGGGCAGCACAATCCAACAAACAAATTACTGACCTTGAAACCTTTCTTAATACTTAAAGTAATTTGTGGGTGAAATTGGCAGCAAGTAGCTAATCTCACCACTCCCAGAGATGCTATTGTAGTGCTGGAGGTTGTATTGTCTGTGAACTAAGTACAAAAGTACAATATTTTAAGCTTCCTTCACGGGTTTGGAGCATAGAAACGAAAAGCTGCTTCAGTTTGCTTGGTTTTGATTCTGATTCTGAGTAAACCTGTCCCAAATGACCCAAGGGGGCTGGGTTCTTTATAGCGTACAAATAGATCAGAGATGTATTTAGAGCCAAGACCATTTAGTGCTTTACTTTCTTGGTAGTGAGGACTCTGGAAGCAGCATTCTGGATGAGCTGCAGCTGTCAGTAGGCTGATTTTGTTATTGTCTCTATGTGGCTGTTGAAATTTAGATCAGAGTCTATAACTACACCAAGATTCCTGGCTCAATTTTTAGATTTCAGTTTTTCCCATGTTCAGTTGTAGAAATAACGATAGACACAGCAATATATTACTGACAATGATACACACAGAAGCAGGCTGTCTAATATTCTCAATGGTAAACTTAATTATATAATGTCACTGGCACCAAAACATCTATAGGCTCTGCTTGGATTATTCCATAAATTAGTTGATTATACTTTATTAAACTTTATTAGAGTTTGTCATCATCTGCATTTGAGTCATCTTAACTATTAAGGTCAGCGTAGGGATGAGAGACCGACTCATGAGGTATCCGTAACCCTGATGATGTCACCGGGGTCATTTGAGCTTGCGGTTTAACTGAGAGCCTGAATTATAAACTGAGTCATGGTGTTTGGAAGATGTTGGTGTTTGCCAGGTATTGTGGATCTAACAAAAAAACACTACTGATTTGCATTATGGGAAATGTAGTATCGGTGTTTTTGGGGCTTGACCCAAAGAAGGGACGAAAAATCATGATATCTCATCCTCTGCAGCACTGATCTTGACCATTATTTATTTATTTATTTCATCTGTCTCTTGCGAGTTCCCCAACTTTATGCTAAATTACTGGAGTACGTCTTTAAGAAAACACATTCATGCTTTGTGCTTTTGAAACCTCACTTCTCCTGAAAAAAGGGCCACGTGTCAGCAAACCTCTGCCCTGCTGAAGTGTCCCTAAAACGAAACAATGGAAAACTCGAGGGTCATCACTGTGACACAGAACTGGTGCCCCAAAAACAGACCTCCCACTTTAATAAAGACAATACTTTTACCTAAGATATCTTTTCATGAATTATAGTTTCCTGAATGTTAAAGGGGATCTCTGCAGTACAAATGTTGAACATGTCGTTACATGCCAGATGTGGCACATGCATGGGCCAAGGTCAGAATCAGTTCTTAAGTGGATCCAGAGGAGGTCACTGTTGTGTGTGAGCTCACTGAGCGGTCTGTGTCATTTCAGGGCAGATCCTCTCACCAACACTAACTGTGAGTATTAGCTGACCTCAGACTAACCTTTGTGGATCCAGATGTGAGTGTGTTTTCTGTGCGTGATGAAAGGCAGGTGTGTGTGTGTGTATGTGTGTGCTGTTTTCCCTCGCTGCATAGGGCACAACAGCTTCCACTTGAGAAAGCACTGCAGCAACTCCACACCTCACCTCACATGCACATGCATACAGAGAGACGAGGGAGAGAGAGAGAGGAAAGAGGGGTGGGCGGGATAACAGAAGGAGGGCGGGACCTCGGGGGTAACAAACGCCCACTGTAATGCTTACATATTCAATTAGCTCCAACCAGAGGGGCAGGCAGGCATCAGCACAGGAGAAACTTGACGGCTACAAGACGCAGTCCATTCATTTTTACAGCAGCAGGCATGCTTCATGCAGCTACCAGCACTCCTCCTGCTGCCTGCTCACTGAGTTTCACTTTCCTCAGCCCGCTGCTCAACTTTTCACTGGTTTAACACTATGGACCCGCTATGGACGGACACCGGCGCCCCGGTACGGCATGCAAATACGTACTCTGACGTCGGCGATCATGTGGCTTTTGGCGTAGATCCTCCTTGTGATCGCCAATTTTTTCTTTCCTGTCGCCTGTTGTCTGCTCGGTTATTGGGCCGCCGTGAGTGTGTTTAAAACAGATTGGGCTCGTTTCGTCGGTTCGCAGTGGCTTCGGGGATTGTACCGCACTACCTGAGCATCGCGCCAAAACGGTGGGCAGGTAAGAAATGGAGAAACTGTTCCTCTGTTTTTCAAACGGCTCGCCGCGGCTGCCTCCTGAAAAGTCCCCCAAGTTAAAACTGCATGTAGTTGTTTGTTTGTGCCTCTCTCCTGTCTTGCTCTGGCACCGCGCGGCTCCCAAACACCCACACGCCTCAGTATAAATATTTTAACTTGTCTAGCCGCATGAACTTTGCCTGCCCCTGCCGTTTACACCTGCGTACTGAGACAATGTGTCCGCCAAGTTGTTAATTGGATGTTTTCGACCCCGTGTTTAAGTTTCACTTTGGTACGTTGTGACCGTGGTGCGAGAAGGCATAGAGGAGAGACATCGTGTCTACTTTTCCTCCTCCCCGTTTCGACATAACCAGCAAAACATGGCCGTCCTTTGCCGACATGTTGTTACGTCGATGGCGAGAGGGGGAACATTTGGGGAGAGTGTTTTTCTGCGCCCCTCTGTCACATCTCGGGCTGGCCGGTGGACACCCCGCACCGCCGCCTGTGTAGCCGCTCACATTCAGCGGTACTGAGGTTAGAGTGCAACTTTTTGAGTCCGACGTTGTTTATAGACTTTGATTTGTGCGACTCTGTGATGTAGGCGTAACGTTACCCCTGGTGATGCCTCCTCCCCTCCGAGACCACGGCTCCTACTGCATGCAGACACATAGACAGACAGGGCTGTAGCACAGGAGCCCACTTATATCCTGTCACTGCAGCAGGCCCGTAACTGTTGGAAAAAGTCAGACGTGGTTCATTTTATTCACAATATCAACTTTGGTTTTGAACTCAGTGCAGTGCACACAGACTGTAAGCTGCACACAGACTGTAGCTCTCCTCTGGAGTCAGCACACTCAGACTTAACCAGGGGAAATATGTGCTCAGTGCACCCAGTAAAACCTTATGCGGGGATAGTGGCTGTTGGATTGATTTCATTGTATTTGATGCTTTATGTTGTCCTGTACTGCATAAAACACCTAAATAGTTTAATACTGCAGTGCTGTAGTTGTTGTTGCTAACAAAACACAGCCCAGTTTTTATCACCTCCTACCCAGTTTTCTAGTTTCTTACATCATTATGTCATAGAACAATAAAACACATACTCTACCATGTAGCATAGGTTTATTATTATGAAACCATGTCACATAGTTTATACAGTCACTGTAAACTGACTAACTTTACAGTAGGGTGGTGGTGTCCTCATATGTCCTCATCAGACCAGAGGGCCTTCTGTTAAAGCCTTATGTAAATTGTCTTGTTGCTTTTTGCGGCTGTGGCACAATTTCAGTGACATATATACACCTTCAGTAGAACTGATCCATCCAGACACAATTGTGCAATACCCCAGGTTGGAACTGTTATTTATCTTATTAAGTGTATTGGGTATCAGCCATGATTTGAACCAGTCCTCCTTTAATACAGTTTATTTGTTAGTGTTGTTATAAAATAAAAAATTTCCTCCCTTAGCGGCATTCATTCAGTTTTTGGTACCACAGCCATCCCTGGCCTAATACCATTACCTCACATAAACAATGATGACAATGAGGTCTACAGCTTATAAATTTGAGGTTGGATCGGCGCATCCCGACAAACTGTCACAAATCGGATGTTTATTGATCTACAGTACATATTCAGTACAATGGTTTGATTTGAGTCTGCTATAAACAACATACACACAAGTATTGGTGTTGATAATAATAACATCAAACACCTGACTATGACATTTCCAGGGACTGTAACACCAGCTGGCTCCCAGTACCAGTTACAATTAGATATTGACTCTATCATTGTGGAGGTTGAGATTAAAGTAGCATTTTATACCTAACATACTGTGGTGCTGGTTGTGATAAAACAGTCCCTGACACCAAATAATTCAGTGCACCTGTTCACCAGTGACCTCTGACAGGCCTAAACACTCTGGCCCTACAGGTGGGCCAATTAATTGAAAAGCGTTCTGCGCCTGTTACGGATACTGCTGACTGTACGTCTGATGAAATATCTTGTTCATTAGACGATGTTCTCTCAGCACTGGTGTGACCTATTATGTTGTATTTCTAAACATTCTCTGATCAACAGTCCCACCCTCTCAGTAAAAGATGCAAGTGGTTTTGATCACAGCGCAGTTAACCCTCCTGTCGTACCCGTTACCAGCAATTCCTCTGGGTATAAACTTGGCTTCGCTCGCTAAGCCACGCACTCTTGCTCTTTTCCATGTGAAGAGAAATTTGGCTCATGTTTTGTTCTTCACATGGTTTCCGCTTGTGATCTGCCAAATCAGAGATAATGTTATGTAATTTGGAATGACAGCCGGCTCAGTTTTATTGGGGGCTGAACACTCAAAGGGTTTCTGTTGATAAAAGTAAACCGTCACATTTCAAATCTCACACACACACACACACACACACACAGTTGTCTAGTGTATTTTGTCGCCAAGCATTTCTTGCAGAATAATGTCGGGAACACAGCTTAAAAAAGGTGTTATGTGTAATTGTCTGCACTTAACCCACCCAATAGAAATACTTAGAATTATGAATGTTTTTGACTGTTACCATGTCAGTGTAGTAGAAAGAAGTAATGATAATCTAACAATCACAGTTGTGTAGTGTAGAGCAACATTAGTGAATTGTTTTTACAGTTTGACAGATGCAAGATTAAGTCTGTTTGAATATAATTTTTGGGGGGGAAATGTTATTATTAGTATTGCTGAAAGGATTAGAGAAATGCACAGATGTCACCATCCTACCTTCTTGTCCATAACATCAGTGATTGTCCCATCATCACTACACTGTGACAGCAATAGGGACAGCAAGCTTTTTAGTGAGGAGAGGATTTTATGTACAGCCTAAAATCATTTTATTTTATTTACAGTAAGGTGTTTAGAAGCTATTATTTCTGGGAAAATGGCTTAAATATAAATCTGCCCTCATTGAATTGCCTTTTTTTCCCCAGTCTCGCCCAACCATGCAGTGTTTCTCAATGTACTGTGACCTCTTATAATGTCACAGCCGAAACATCCAGCTGTGAGGTGATCCACACTATTTTGTTCCTAGAGGCATCTATTCGTTTACTGTAGCCAGATGGTGGAAAATGAACAAGACTCAGTCTGTCACATTCATTTAAATAGGAAAACACTGAGCCTCAAGAATTGGTGTCAAATTATGACCCGTGAAGTGAATGAAAAAACAAAGATCTCTGTATTTAGACAGATTTATTTAGACAGCTCGTACACATAGCTCTTCTAAACCAAAGCCAAAGGTGTGTTTTAGAATCTTAATGCCAAATTTAATGGATTTTGTTTTCCAGACATCAAACTTCATGTGAAATCAAAAGCAGTTTTCAAAATCCAAGACAATTACATACAGTCTAACAGAAGAAAGTGCAGGATAGTCAAATATCATTCATGTCAGATTTGATTGTTGACAGTTGTCATACCACCAGATGTTGCAAGTGTCTGCTGCAGTTTCTGAATGCTAACTAGAACTAATCTGGGGCAGAAGATTGATAGCAAAACACATCGACTGAGAAATGATGTTTGTTTTTGATAAATGAAAGTGGGCAGGTGGCGGGTAGTAAATGTGATGTGTGTGCTGCTGATGTTACAGCTGATAGGTGTTTGAGGTTACGTTGGCTAAGTGGTTAAAATGTTAACGTGATTTATATGTGTAAGATTTTGATCATTGTAGGCTGTCTGCTTGCAATTAGCCATCCAGCACTGACCAACAGCTTTCTAGCTAGAAAATGACAAGCGGCTAACACTAGATTGATTGTTAACCAAATGACTCATCTGTTTTTTGTGAACAGCAAAAATAAGTGCAGGTCCACCAGATAACAGCTCATTTTGTAGTTTGGCTAACTCACAAAATTACTACAAATCATAAAATCTGAACAGCATTTTGTCCTTGATTTTTAATGATTTATTTTTCTATTATTTATTTTTATTTTGACAATCGGGTGCAGTGAGGTTGTAGTAATAGGTGAAAGAGATATTTTATGTTTAAAGAAGCCTCTTATGCTCTCACTGTTTTCTTTTTAGGAAATAGGAAACAGAAATACTGTAACCAGCATATAAAACAAAGATTCAATTTACTGGTCCTGTATGTATGTTCATATGGTTTGAGCTTACACTTATTTATTCCACGATAAACGACTGTCATTTTAAGGGGCCGTGATAGCAGACCTGTGGTGGGTTCCAACACGTTTTTGTTTTTCACCTTCATCAGGAACGTCCAGCATTTCCTGACTGCACATAATCATGCTTCCACTTCCATTCCTGAGCTGTACAATGTGTATAATGGCTGTCCATTCTCTTGGTGAAACACTGGAATGAGTCATCATGGGTTGGAGGACGGAGGTTGTTGTTGTTGTCATCACGGCCCGTCGTGCTCAGCTTGACTCTGTGATGACATCACCAACGTTTACGCTGTGCTTTGTTCCACTGTGTTCAGTTCAGGTCTTCCTCTCCGCTGTGCCTCTGCCGGCTTCTCAGACGTGTTGTTGGGTGACTAAGGCAATCACAGAGATGAGCTCATCACCTGTAGGTGGGGCTGAGAGGGAGAGCGTGATGCAGGGAAGGAGGCAAATTAGAGAGGTAGAGGAGTTACATGAGGACAGATGAAGAGGGAGCATGAAATCAACACTAGTAAAGAGTACATGTGATGTCTGAGAGAGATGGAGGAAGAGACAATAGAGTGACACTGCATGAGAGTGACAAGGGAGGGAGACAGGAGTGAGGAAGTGATAAATCCATGTAGACTAAAGGCCCATATGCACCTTAAGCTGTAAAAGTGTTTTTTCATGTTGGTTTGTATGTCAAGTTTTGGAATATAAGGCTGCCGTTTGCTAGATCAGGACCTAGTTGAATCCCTGGAAATCTTCCACCATAGCTCTCATAACATTTCCAGGTAAAGCAGACAAAAAGGTCATTGTTCTTACGTGTGATCCTTTTATGTGTCCACTAAGGCAATCCCTGACTTTGGTAATGTGCTTGATATGGTGTCACCATTTCCCACCGTTGGAAAGCCTGTCGGAAAAATCACACATAAAGAATTGCAGGTACGGCTGTGGTGTTTAACATGTCGGAAATCCAACCGAACTAAGGTGTCACCGAAGAAACCCGGTGACACTGAGAGTGACAAAGACAAGAAACGAGACACTAGAGTCAGAATGTCTAAGCAGTCTGAAAGAGAAACAAGAGACGACCTCAGTGAGAGATTGCAAGTATGTGTGTGTGTGGGAGAAAGAGCAGGTTCACCAGGCTCCATCATTAGTATCTTCCATCAGTCATTTCACAAGCTGTGTGTTTTATTAAAGACTTTACTGCTTCATTTCTGCATTGATTATTATTTAAGTCTGTGAGTGCACAGCAATTTATACAGCAGTGTGTAAGCATGTATTAAACTATCCGGTGGACATCACTCACCAGTCAGAGGGCTTATTTGTAGTGGCCACTGCAGTCTTAAAACTACTTCTGCAGTTAGCACATTAAATCTGAACATAAGCACTAAAAAAAGTTAGATCTGTACCCGTGCACACAATCTGTGCATGTCATGTAGGTCAATCATGCCTGCTCGTGTGTAGAGTCGCTCCCCTTCTCACACCCCAGTGTGTCCTCCAGATTTCAAGTTTGGGGGGAAAAAAAAGGACAGAGGGGAAACGGAGAGAGAGCTTATTGAAAGGCCTTCTGCACTGCACCACGTCAGCCAGTGGCAGAGCTCAGACACGCCCCTCTTACCAACGTTAGGCCAATGGGGAGAGGCCGGAGACAATTCACAAGCCACACCCACTGCAGAAGGCAGAGATTGACAGGTGGGAAATCTGGCTGCACAGGAGCGCTGAATGCTCACTGAGACTCTGTCAAACAAGTAAAGAACTCCAAAGTCTCCAGGTGTTCTCATTTTGATTCAGCAAGACAGTCAAGACCTAGATCTTTCTCTCCTTCTCATGCATGCACACACACATGGAGGACACTGTATAAATTGCATTGCAGTAAAACATGATACAATTTGTTGTGATCAAAATGTGGTAACTGCTTGACTGAAGTCCCTCCAATGCCCCCGCGTTGACGTTATTTTGCAGGATGCTGTTTAGGTGCAAGAAGACCCTTGCCCTATACTAGCTCTGTCCCACAATGCAATTACTGTAACTAAAAACTCACATTTTACCCTCTTCAAACAAAAAAAAAAACAAAACTACAAAAACATTTTTAGCAGTGGTTTAAGCCCTTAGTAGTTGACATTGTGAAGTACAAGGTTTCCGTGGGAGAGTAATGTGCTGTTATCAGTGTGGCTGTCTGTATGTGCACAAGGCCACGAGGGAGAGTGAAAGAGAAGAGCATGGAGCTGAACAGGGGGAGTGCAAATAGGACAGCAAAACCAAATGAAGGGGGGTTATTATCATGAAAGCCACATAAAAATGTTCAAGAGGGATAGTTTACCCCAGGATAACTCCCATTTGCTGTAATGAAACTCTGCCCCGCACCCCATCTGTTTTTCATTCCCTCTCACAGCCCCTGGAATCAAGTGAATGCTCGCTGACGTGTTGGCCTTCGTCATTGGGGTCACGTCGGGGGAGTGTGGAGGGGCCGCAGCGGCAAACTGAACTGAGACAGCCTTAGATGTTCCATGACAGTATGGGCGTTGGATACTCGTCAGTTCCTGATGTTCAACAGGCAAAGCTAAATGGGGAGTCCATCATAGGTGGACTGTCAGGTTGGTTAAATAGCTTATTTTGAGTCGATTGCTGGGCTGCACAGCCGACTGTTTAGTGTGGTCCTGTAGGTTAATGTATACTGAGTTACAAACAAAGGTGAATCTCTGTCATCTTTATGCCCCTAATAAGATTGTTAGAGAAAAACACGAATCTCTCAATGTGTCATTCAGACCCTCTAATAATGTAGAAGATTTGTCAGCATGTGCAGAATGAGGTGTAGGGTGTCAACCAGGAAGTAAAGTTGAGCTGGATTTTAAGCATCTCTGCTGTCATGACACTGTTTGACCTCCTCTGGGTTTTCTGCTCCTGGATGCAAGCACATACTCACAAACGCTTTCCGTTGGTTACAGTGTTACCATAGTAACACAACCATCAGCCGCAGAGTGGGTGACACTTGGATATTTTTATAGCTTGCCCTTTGTGTGTTCGACAGTGCGCCGGTGTGTTAAGGGAGGATACAGGTCTGGCAATGTGACACTAGTGTGTGTTCAGTGTTACGCGAACCACATTAAATGGGAGACTGGATCGTGGATCTAATGCAGCGTAGCCTGCTTGACAGTATTTCCATCATGCTGTATATAGGCCACTGTGTCTCCTCGTGTTTGTGGATTGAATAAGGACACAGCAGTGATGATGGGGCTACTTTTCTGGGACCTCCATATGAAAGTTTGGCAACTTGTCATAAAAGCTGATGAGTGCGTGATATTGAGCCCATGCAACTTTAGAATATTGAACGAAAAATACTCAAGAGAAAAGGTGCTGACTTAAAAGAAAGTGAGATTGTGCTATACACAATTTATAGCAGCTAAAATTTGCTGAGGTGACAGAATCTTGTCAAAATTAATAGCAAAGTATGCACTAAAATGAGTTTAGTCACTCTGATACATACATCAGTATCTGTGTATATGTCAGTAAATAACAAGAAATAATACCAAAGATGCTTGAGGTAGACTATAGAAACACTGAGGCCAATAGTTTGTTCACCAAACACAAAGATTATTTCTCATGTGTAAAAACTCATACTTAGTACAAATCTTGGCCACAATTCAAATTACAACATTTAAAGGAATAGTTTGACATGTTGGGAAAGTTGGTTATTTGCTTGCCAACAGTTAGGAGATAAGATTGATGCCACTCTCATCTCTGTACGGTAAATTTGTAGCTGGAACTAGCAGCTGGTTAGCCTAACAGCCTGGCTCTTTCCAGAGGTGACAACATCAGCCCATCAGCACCTCTGAAGTTCACTAATCAACAAATTTTATTTAGCTTGTTTAATCTGAAAAAAAAACACAAACAGTGAAAATGACAATTCACTGTTTGAGTGGGTTATGTGGATTAAACAAATATGGGATAAAATGTTGATTAGTGAACTTTAGAGATAATAATATGTGAATTTTATAACCTCTGGATAGAGCCAGGCTAGCTGTTTCCCCATTTTCAGTCTTTATGCTAAGCTATGCTAACCAGCTGCTGGCTCCAGATGCATATTTAGTCAAATTAAACATTCTGACATTGAGCTGACCAAAGTGCTGTATAAATGATATTGAAATATAAAGTAAAAGTAAAGACACAGAAAAACATACCAACGACAACAATTAACAATCAGGGACAAATACAGAATTATATATTCTGACCAGTGAATTAAAAATGTGTTTTTGCTAGATTTAAAAACCCATGGCAACTGGTTCCATAATTGTAGAGCAGAAACTGGGAAATAAGAGAGAATTGTTGTCGGATCTCAGGGCCCTCTGAGCTGAGTGCCAGTAAATAAGCTCTGTGATATAAGTTGAGGCCTGATCATTTAGAGCCTTTACCATAGCATTTACCATGCTGACACGAGACTGGCATCAATCTAACTGCAGGATTATGCAAAAAGTACAGAACTGGTTTCCACCGAACTTGGTGGAGGGATGGGGCATGGGCCCCAGAAGAACCCCTTAAAGTTTGGCACTGATCTGGTTACAGGGGCAGATCCAAGAAATGTTTTATCACTTTTCTACCATGACAAGATTGACCATTTCATCAGATTGACTTTGTACAATTTAGTGCAGATCCAGATAATAATCCGGACCTGGTGGAAGACAGTGTTTGCTCTTGGCGGAGGTATGCTCTCTACTGAGTGCTATTCTAGTTTTAAGTGTTTGTTTATAGTGTCTTTATGTTTAAAAAAAAAAAAAACATCTGGTTGGCCGTTGGCTATTTTTTTCCCCCTTATCAGTATGGGCATCAGCCTCAGAGAATCCAGTATGGGTTGGGCTATTGTGGCAAAACAACCGTTTGCATCATTGATCCACGTTTAGTCTTCATCCCAGCCCAGCAAAAGTAGAGCCGCTCTGTTGCTATGCAGAACATACCAAGCACTCAAACACAGTGCAGCACTTTGCTTTGCTCAGGAGGAGCCGCGTGATGAGATTTAAATTAAGTCTGCGACGGTCCGAAATTCTGCCTCTTCCACCCCTGCTGGGACGTATTAATGGTGGTGGTGCCTCTCCTCACCCACACAATTCAAACACACACACACTGTCCTCACTGCAGTGGCTGACTTATGGAACAAGCAGTCAGGGGGGAAAACACACTCAAAACAGACAGTGAGGGAGAGAAACCCACCCCTGACAGCAGTGCCAACAGAGCAGTGTGTGCACTCCCTCTGTGCAATATGTTTTTGTGAAATAAAATGCGTGATTGCAGTTCAAAGTTTTAGTTAATGTCGCAGCAAAAGTCGTGTCTGTGTTTCTGCAGCGTGTGGTTTCTGTGCTGCTTCCTAGTCTTGTTTTGCTTGTTATTCCAGAGCGCTGGTGTAACTGGCTGGTTTGTACTTCATGCATGGCTTCAAGTGCAGGAGCCGCAGAGGTTGCCATTCATGTGCCTTTGTGTCCGTGATGACTGCATGCCTGAAAACTCTGGCACTCAGTTGGCTGTGTCTCCGCAGTACATTCATTTCTCCAGCCTTCTTCTCTCTTCAGCTACAACAATGAACCCTACCAGAATCTGCCAGTACTTGAGCTTGATCTTTGTTCAGGCTGTTCAGGAGAGAGCTGTGGCACAGGACGTACAGTATTGTTTCCATTCCACACAGTGCATAGCCTTGCAAGACACTTGAGTGCATCTGATCAGTCTGGCTGCATAGTATAATTTTACATTTACTTTACTTACGATTGTCTGACTAAAAATAGAGCTGCAACCTTTTACCTTAACCTCTGAGACACAGGTACAGCAGTTACCATAGTGATCCATAAGAAATGTTGCCTCCCAAGAATTTCATCACTATACACGTCAATCACTGCAGGTTTGGCCAAGGACGTATGCATTGCCAAGTTGTCATGTGGCTACTTTGGTTCAGGTCGACGTGTTTTAACAAAAGTTATCTGTAATAGGAGACCACTTCACATTGCTTTCCCAAAATTCCCGTTTTTGAGAGCAGAGTCTGAGCCATATTTTTTCCCCCACTACTTTGATTACATTAATGATACCCAGAAATAGGATCTGAAAGGAGTGTGCTGCTGTGACTCATCTGTTCAGTGTCATTCTCTCCTCACTGCTGTTTGGATAGATAGATAGATATCCTTCCTATAGCACCACTATATTCCTGCTGTATTAGATCATCTGTCTGTCTTCATACTTTAGACAGGCTCAGTTGTATTGATTTCCCCTGTGCTCTCTCCAGTATGTATGCCAGTGTGTAGCCTAAACTGATTACTGCCAGGGCTGATATGTATTTGCTGCCTGGCAGCATTAAAGGTAACTCCTTCAGAAAGACGGCTCCACTAATACAATGCACCAATCAGACAGCCAGACAACAGGCAAGTACAGACAGACGGGCAGGCAAGGAGCTGCCAGGCTCAGTATTCATACAAGTTTAATGAGCATCCAGACAGTACAGAGTTTGTGGCTCCAGCACAGAGCTCACACTGCACACAGAAGCCAAGACGCTGACGTGGTTAGACACTTTAACTAACAGGTGAGAGACTGACTGACTGACCCAGGTTATGAAAACGGCTAAGTTTGCTTCCACAACTAATTACCATTTTTGGTGTTAAAAATAAAGGCATTATTTTTATAGCATCTTTCAAAGGCAGACATCACAAAGTGCTTCACAATAAAGATGAGAATCAAAAGTGAAAGTTACCATGTGGAAAGCTCAGGCAGCAGTCGGAAACATTAGTCTGTGCACAGTTCCTTCTGTGAGATGTTTACAGCCAAACAAACAAATGGCTCAGAGCAAAAATTTCTTCTCAAGGACACCAGGTTGATTACTTTTAATCCTTGAGAGAGTAGCCTATTAGTAAGACTATTATCAAGGTATTATACAAGTTATTTTGATAAAGTTTGAGTGACTGTTGAATAGAGTAATACATTGCCATGGTTATTAATCACACACTGTAGCAGTTCTCTTTTCCATGATGACATTCAGTGCTCCCAAGTAGCCAGCCAAGGCAGCAGGAGAGCAGCCCCGCCTTCCTCCGCTGGAAATGATAGAGTAGAGAGAGGAGGAGGCTGTTGGAGCCAGTGTATCCTCACTGCTCAGCACTCTTTACACACGCCTTTCTCTCTCTTCCAGGCGATCGGAGCACATGAGTTTAATCTTACTGCCACAACTTAAACTGCAGAGCTGCTTGTGTTTATATTGTGTATGATAATGTTCATTCTGAGTCAGCTTCCTTTCAGAAATCTGTCCTGCAGTGAACACTTTTTCTATAAATGACTCAGTAGGCAGTTAGTTAATATTCAGACTGATGTTTGATGTCATCCAGGGACTTGAAGTTCATTTCTGAGGAACCAGTGGCAGCATCGCCAACGTTATTTAAGTTCTGAGGTAGTTGTGTTTACAGCTTACTAATATGGATGTTGCGTAAACGGAATTGCTCATCCTCCCTCCCTCTGCTTGTGTGGGTTTAGCACATACAGTAGGAGGTAAAAGTCCAGCCACAGCTTTGTTCTCTTCATCGTCAGATCCTCATCCAGCCACTGTCACCCATCAGCACATCCACAAAGTGTCCAGGCTGTGAAGTTCAGCAGGTCATATGAAGTGGCACAACAGATGCATCTCAAATTCCGTCTTACTGGAACTTGGCTACATTGCTGGATTTTGGGCAAAGGGCGGACTTTGAGGGACAGAGCGATAGTGAGTGGAAGACTGAGTATGTATACTGCAGTGTTTACATCATGTGTCCTCTTAGAAGGTATTAATCTGTACAGCACCCAGAACAGGGTTAGTAGGATAATCGAGTAGCTTTCAACCATATCTTTTACCAGAGAGGTCTTTTGTGTGCCACCTCTGACTAGCTCTGATTTCCCTTGTCCTCTCCTTGTTGCTTGGTCCTTGACTTTCCCCGTTGACTGAATGAGTGAAGCTGAAGAAACCTCACAAATGCACCACACCACTCTGCATCCTGCAGGACAGGGATTTTTCAACACACACAGCCTGTCAGCTGTTTCTGCAAGATTTCTGTTTTCCTAAGTATTTCTCCTTTTTTTTTCTTCTTTTTTTTCTCATTTCTCTGTCTCTAAAACCAGCAAATACAACACCACATGCAGCCGGGTCAGCCTTGTACATACAGTCTCAGCCAGTGTGACATGGCTGTAGCAGCTACTTGACTACAGCTCTACGTCCGCGGTTGCTATAGCGACACCATGGTAATGAGTCTGCATTCTAATGATGCCTCAGTGGGTTGTTTGAGGAGTTGAGATATCTCGGGACAATGAGTCGACTGGCGAATGACAGCCTTCAAGCCTCGAAGCGAACAGTGCCATGTGATTAATGCGTAGCTGTTGGAGAGGATCTTTTACGTGATTACAAAGTATAGTCCTAACATGCTGAGCTGACAGAAGCCCCCAAAGTCATACTATTCACATAATTACTGTTGCTCCACCCTGAGTAGCAGGCTTAAATATGATCATACTGTTTGTTTGGTGGGGTTAAATATCTTTCCTCTGTCAGTCTTTACTCTTTTAAGAGGACTTTCCCTCGTCCTCTGTGCTGACTCGGCTTTATGAAACCTCATTATGTCCTGATAGAAGAGCACCGCTGCTGCATCGACTCATTTGATTTTTACTCATGTGCATATGAGTATGAAGCTTCGGCGTGAAGCCTCCAGAATATCAAGACTTTTTTCAGTCAGATAAGCGTCTCTCTCCCCTCTCATTACAATACTACCCACCTGCTCACTATCCCTCAGTTTTTCGTAACCGCTTCTTCTCGATAGACGTGTCATTTCCACACAACCCAAATAAAGCCGCTCTTAGCTTTTAAAGATATGTATCTGAAGCTGCTTTTGTCTCTGGCTTCTCATTCTATTCACTTGGTGGCATAATCTGATTTATGATTAGTCAATACTTCTCAAGAGAACTTGTTGTAATGACAGCCGCAAACTTGTCAGCTGCATATATTTGCATATCAGCCACATTGCCAAATCACTGTTTTCAAACTGTGATGATAAAAGTTTTTACTCTGCATAAGTAGACGACAAAGTAGCCCTCTTGTAAAACTTCATGTTTGTTTTCAGTCAGACGGAAGCTGCAAATACAGAACTCTCCTGATCTCAACCAATTCTATCAGGTGGGTGTTGGAAGTGGGCAAAGTCCATATGGTTTCAAAGACAGTTGCTCGTGTTGTTTCCCTGATTGTGCAACTGCTTGTTTTTAATGTAATTTGAAAAATTTAACTGACATAAAGTCTTTTTTTCAAAAACAGTTGAAGTGTTAAAACTGGCATTAATATAGATACTCGAGGTGGCACTCGAGGACATTTTCTAATGTTGGTGGTTTTGCAGAAATGCAGACGTAGGTGAAATAACACAACACATAAAATGCAGGAGCAACTGAACAAGGGCTATAACCAATGATTATCTTCATAATCGATTATCCTTTATTTTGCAAAATATCAGAAAATAGTGGAAAGTGCCCATTGAGAGCCCAAGGTGAGCACAACCCAAAGATAATCAGTTTACAATTGTAGAACACTAAGAAAAATGTAAATATTCACATTTGAAAAGCATAGTTTGCATTTTTGCTTAGTAAATGACTAAGCAATTATCAAAATTGTTGCCAATTAATTTTCTTTTGATCAATTAATTGTGTCAGTTCTACCTTTGCATGAACAGTAACTTGTGTATTACCCCTTCTCCATATCATGTCTGCCACATCCTGGTTTTCTGATTTATTACTGCACAAGCAGGGCTGGTATTGTTTTGGTATTGCTTAATGGAGCATTGACAGTATACAGCAGCTGTCAAGGGGGTGTGTATGATATGAAAGGTTTTTGTCCACAGTCCATAAACATTCCCAGGCTCTGTTTGTGTGTCATCACAGCAAAATGTGGTCCTGCAGACACCTACTGTAGCGGGAACTACCACAGAGGTGGTTTTGAGGACTTTGGCAGGTGTTTATATGTGCAAGATAAAGTCATGAAACTTTACAGGTGGGTAGATGAGATTAAAATGAAGGCTGGGTTGACCCCTTAGTGCAGAGTACACATTTAATAACGTAGTAAAAACTACTGAATGCTCATGGATTTGAACGTCAACATGTTGACAGACGTCACAGTTGGTATGATCCCATCGCAGGATGGTCTCTAGTTGAATTTGTGTCCTATACACTGTACATAACCCCTACTGTTTTTATCTCAATGTTGCCCTTTTGACCTTTTTGTTCCAGGATTTGTCTAAATTGCGTGATGTTATGGACTTAACGCAGTGGTGAAAGCTTTTTAGGAGTTTGCTGCTCCATGTGAGGGATGCATGTACACTGCTTTTCTACTCAGTTTTTCATAGAACATTCCTGACCACCTGAAGACCGTCTGCTGTGCTCCACTGTTTGTTTGTTTGCCAGCCTCCTCTGACCTTTTTCATTTTGAGCCATTTTTGCCCACAGGCTGGCTGTTGACACTTACCTCTTTTGGGTGGCGGCTCGCTGCAGATCCACATGGGACACTGCTGAGCTTAAATAACCAAGCATGTTGCATTACTTAAAATGCTGAAACCAGCCCGTTCACTGCCTCCTGTAGTTGGCTGCCTATTCAAAGGCACTTGAAAAGGGTATCTATGTTTTCTCATTTTTCTTCACTCTCCACTTTATTCAGTGTCAAAATTGTCTCAAGCATCTCGAGCAAACAAAGTTCTACACATAAAGTGTCCTTATTTCTGTGACTCGCATTGAGTGACCATTTCAATTGAGGTGAGAGATGTGACCACCCACTGGTCTCACTAGCCCTTTTTCACACAGAGATCCCACTATATTACTGTTAAGACCCTGCTTTATGCTGCCTTTGCTTGTTGCCCACGCCTGCATAAAAGCAGAATGCCCCCCCCCCCCTCCCCCGCATTCTGCCCTCATAACTTTTTATATGGAATAAAAAGGCGTAACATTTCCCACCTTGAACAGGTTGCGTAAAAAGGATTACTGATTAAATGCTTTCAAGAGCAATGAAGGAAACCGGTAAAGCAATGGTTTTTAAACAATAGGCCAAAATGAAAATGTCTTTCTATTGATTGTAATAATTTTTTCCTCTACTCTTCCCCTCTGTCTCTCATCCAGGTAGCATCCTGTCATGCAGTTCCAGGAGGTCGATGAGCACTGGAGCTGACACTGTCAGCGAGCCCAGCATACACTACACTTCAATAGCCCCACTTCTACCAGACCTTCACCTTCCACTGCCCTCCTCTCTCTCCAGCCACTAATCTCACCCCAGGGGAAGCCTTTTCTTAAGACTTCTTGGCTGCTGAGTCCCATCCCACTGTCCTGTGCTTGCTGCCTGTATCTCTAGTGCAAGCCAGTCCTCCTGGCTATACCTCTGCACCTTAGACTGTGTTTTCACAGGGGTGCTGCATCCTGCATCCTGGGCACCTTGGCCATAGTCTCCTTTACAACATCCCTGGCCAAGCACAAGCACCAGGACAAACCCAGGATCTACCATCATCATGTCCAGTCGACGGAAGGCTTCCACTCCCTGTATGATCCGACCAGAGCAGACCATGGTGGAGCTGGATGATGAGTCAGAGGAATCGCACAACATGGAGGTACACTGTCAGTATGTTTGGCAGCAGCATCTGACTTTTCTTTAATAGGTTGAGTTTAATAATTAACATGGCATGCTTGGTTTTGTGTAAATTTGAATATTGTACTTTTATGACTTCTAAATACAGAGTCACATTAAAACTGTTTCTATCTTGTGATTTTATATTATGCTGCATTTTTCTGTGGATGCACTAATCTCAGGACTCAGTTTATAAATCGAGGGCAAGAGCCAAGAAATATATCTGTGTGTGGATCATCTGCACATATTTCAAATTGCCATTTGTAGTCTTTGTTTTTCATCTGAAAACTGCTCTTTCCATTTACCAGACAAAAACAGAGAACCATACTGAGGAGGGGCCTATGGAGGCAGATCTCTCAACAGGAGCAGAGCCATCCATGGACCTGGATCTAATGGGAAAGGCCTCAGACCCCCCAGCAGCTCCAGACAAACCTGCGACGGAGCCACCAGACCTTTCTAAGCCTCAACGTAGGCAGCAGGGGGGCTACGAGTGCAAATACTGCCCCTTCTCCACACAGAACCTCAACACTTTCAAAGAACATGTAGATGCCAACCACCCTAACGTCATCCTAAACCCCCTGTATCTGTGTGCTGTCTGCAACTTCAACACAAAGAAGTTTGACACCCTGACAGAACACAATGAGAGGTGTCACCCAGGGGAGAGCAACTTCAAATTCAAACGTATAAAAATGAACAATCAGACAATCTTAGAACAGACAATAGAGGGGTGCAGTAACAATGCAGTCATTTACAACACTTCCAGTGCCATTTCAGGCAAAGGGGACGAACTAGGCATTCTGCCACTCAGCAAACCCACCACAGTCAAGATCGGTAAACCAAAAATAATATCAGATAATAAACGGACAGAGTCTCAGTTGGGGAAACTGACCCCTGATCTGGCCAAGAAACCAATCACAGCGGTCAATGTCAACGGGACAGTCATCATCCCTGAGTCAACGCTCCTCAAAGCAGACGGCCTTTCTCACATTATGCCTTCCCTACAGCGGCCTCTAAACTATACCCAGGTAAGACGCACAATGGAGGAAGAATTCTTCTAGTTTGTCATTTTGAGAAATACACGTGAGAAATGCACAAGTACATTTTCTTGTCATGAGTTGGGTGAAAGATGAATACCAAGCTCATGTTTGTACGTGAAATATAAAGCTACAGCCAGCTAGCGGTTAGCTTAGCTTAGCCTGGTTCTGTCCAAAGATAAAATAAGATAACCCTACCAGCAACTCTAAAGTACATTCAATTGCAAATGATATCATGTTTGTTTAATTAGTAGTTGTATTTCCCAAAATGTTGAACTATTTATGCTAAACTAGCTTAGCTAGTTGTGTCTAAAGGTTACAAAAAACTACCAGCAGCTCTGAAGCTCATAAATTTGTCGACAAGCAAGCACACAATGTAACACATATGGAGATTGAAGTTTCCAATGATAAATGAATACATACTTCTTTTTGGGAAACTTTCAAGGAAATTATGAGGAAAATACAGACTTTACATTAAGCATTACCATCTTGTTGTTATTTTCTGTTTTGTTCCAGGTGCCGAAGATCGCAGTGCCCCTCAACACAACCAAATACAACCCTTCACTGGATGACAACCTGACACTCATCTCCTCCTTCAACAAGTTCCCCTACCCAACACAGGCTGAGCTCTCCTGGCTCACTGCAGCCTCAAAACATCCAGAGGAGCAAATCAAAGTCTGGTTCACCACACAGAGGCTCAAACAGGGCATTAGCTGGTCACCTGAGGAGGTGGGAGTTATAGTAATAATAATATTATAGGCACTCTGTTTAGTGTATTTTCCTTAGGTCTTTTTCATCACCCAGAGGCTCAAACGGCATCTGCTTATTTTCCAAAAAGTAAAAATAATAATGGTGACAGAAACTGTATTTCTAGCACCTCATGTTATTTCACCTTAAGTCTGAGTACTGAGAATAATTACTGTGGGCTGAAATATTAAGTGGGTTTGGGAATGCGCCATGCCTTCAGCAAATTATAGCTCAAAGCACAAGTATGGAAATTGTCTATTTAGACAATAACCACAGATCAGATTGTGGGGTCTTGCTTGATTACTAACATGTTGAATTAAATTTAATTTTCAAAATTAATTCGAACAGTCCAAGATGAAGCATTAAATAATTGTGGTACTGTATTTACTACAGATAAATAATATAATTTCATCCATACACACAGATAAGAGATATATATTAAACAAACAAGTATAACAAGCACTTTCCCTCTGTGACAGGTGGAAGAAGCCAGGAAGAAAATGTTCAACGGTACAATCTCCTCTGTGCCTCAAACCTTCACTGTGGTAGCTCCTCAGCTCAACTCTCAGTCATCCACCAACCAGTCTGCTGCAGGCTCCAAACCCATGCAGCAAGCAGCCTCAGTCCTGCAGTCCCTCCCCTGTCAGCTCCTGGGACCGAGCAGCCTGGTGCTGACTCCTGTAGCCAACGGCTCCACTGTCACTTGCGCACCACTGGCACTCACAGTGGCTAACCAGGTAGCAAAACACTGGGCAGAAATGCAACTCATACAAACGCAGTAACACAGTCAATATGTCAATATGACTTGCAACTATCCATCTTAAACTATATTTAATATTTCCTCCATGATTAATACAGGTGGCGCAGTCACTTAAACGACCCTTGGCCTCCCCTGTGATAGCCACAGACAGTAAACGACCCTCCATCATTCAAACCATCTCGGCGCCCATGGCCACATCAAAGCCGGCGTCACCCAAAGTGCTGAGTTTCACAGTTGACCCCAATAAAACAGCCGAGCAGCTAACAGTATTGAGGTCCAGCTACACACAGTGTCCTTTTCCTGAGGAAGATGAGGTAAGAATAAGTGAGTGAAATGGCATTTTTTTTTTTTTTTTGTGCCATGCCTTAAAAATTCAACATAGACAGATTTTTTTGTGGCAGCTTTTATTTTCTAATTTAGTCCTGCTGCCTTTTTTTAAACACTCAACTGTCACTGATAAATGCCCGAGCTTATTGTTTCATCTTCCATTGCATCTTGTCGTGTGATAGATCTACAGGCTGATAGAGACCACCGGGCTGTCCAGAGGAGAGATAAAGAAGTGGTTCAGTGAACAGAGGCTCCTTAATCTCAAAGGTATGAGGTGTGATCAGTGCCACGCTTCCCCTGACTGGGATTAATCATACATCTTTCTGTGGGTTTGAAACGATCTCATTTTGCTTCCCAGGGGTGAGTTTTAATTACTAAACCATAACGAGCTTTTTTTAAGCACTGTGTCCGTGCTGCGTCATTTAACCAGTATTGTATGTATTATTATACCTCTGCGCTGGTGACAGCCAGAGCTGGAGGCATTATATTTTCAGGTTCTTGTGAATGCGATATCTCAGTAATGCCTTGAACAAATTTCTTCAAATTTGGCACAAACATTTACTTGCATTCAAGGTTGAACTGATTAGATTTTGGTGGCCAAAGGTCAAGGTCACGGTGACTTCACATTCTTGTGAATGCAATATATGAGGAACGCCCAGAGGAATCTTCATTACATCTGTCACAAACATTCACTTGGACACAAGGATGATCCGATTGGAATTTGATTGTCAAAGATCAAAGGTCACAATTTTGCCCATAACTCACTCACTCATATGCTAATTATGACAAAGTTTAACACAAATGTCTAATAGGATAAAAGTGACATTTTATATCCAAAAAGTCAAAGGTCAACTTCACTGTGACATCATAATGTTCTGCAAAAACACATCTGGCAATTATTCAACACTGTAACTCAGGAAGGGGAGATTGTGACCTTATTTCCTGAATCTTGGTGGCTGGTGGAGGCATACAACTGCAAGGTGGTAATTCTAGTGTGAAAACATGAATTAGCATATCTCAGCATTTGAAGTTTCCCTCTCTTTTTGTCACTCTTGAAGGGGTTCCTCCACCACCAGTGCTAGTGAAAGCAGAGGTGATGCCAGCACCTAAAGATGGTCCTGTAAAGAAAGCAGTCCCCAGTCATTTTCCTCTGCTGGAGAGGGTGAAGGGAAAGACATCTGAGCAGCTGAAGGCACTGGAGGAGAGTTTCCAGAGAAGCAGCTCTCCAACTGAGGCCGAGCTAGGTACAGCCCACCCATCAATCCTCTCATAAGCACATGTCTTAGGATGGGAACACTTGAGATTTATTACCTTATTCTTGTTTTGGTTGTTAGTATACGACATAGAGTGGCTCCTGGGGGAATGTACTGGAGAAAAGTGATGTTTAGGACAGGAACAAATTTCAGGTATCAACAGATGAGGAAAGATGGATAAATATTGAGTCATAATATAAATAGTATCATTAGAATATGTGTATGTGTTTATTTGTGCCAGAGTGGAGTAATTAAACACAAGTGGTGATGGCTTAAACATTCAAACAGTGTTTACAGTGTTACTACTTCCTTGAACTTCCTTGAAAAGAATCAAACAGCTTCATTAATGAGCATTTTTTCTGTGTGCAGGAAGCTTGTCTGTGCATGTTATTTTACTAACTTATTCACTGGTGGTCTCAGTCTAGTACTAAATTCAGATGCTTAATGTGAACACATTATATTTGCCTTTGCCTACAAAAGCACATGACAGCCCTCCTGCAGATTGGGAGCTAATGAGGCACAAAATTAGCTTCACAGATATCTTTTTAAAGATTAGTTTATGTTATTAAATTCCCTGAGAAAAATGATGACAACTTTTAAACCACTTATTAAAAACTTTGGCACTGAAATAATATAAATTGGGTGAGATTCAGTTGGTTAGTTGGTTGTGTTCAATATCCTCACTCGGATTTAAAAATTACTTTGAAACATTCTGTAGTGTTTTCTTCTATTTCTAAGTTCACAGCATGTGACTTCATTTTCTTTCACCCTGGTGTAGCTGTAGGCCAGTCTCTGGTGGCTGCCTGCATGACAAGAATAGCAGAAATGTTTTTAATGAACCCATTTTTAAGTCCCGTGGAGAGAGACTGAATTCTCAGGTTTACAAAAAAAAGCTTCTACTTGGAGGTAACACAGCTCATTTGACCCACTGAACTCTCTTGTGCTGCAGACCAGCTGGCCCAGGAGACCAGGCTGTCCAAGACGGAGGTGGACTGCTGGTTTTCAGAGCGCAGGGCACTGAGGGACAACATGGAGAAGACTTTGCTCTCCATGGCCTCAAAAAACACGGAGGACAGACCAGACCGGCCCGGGGCGTTGCTGAACGGGGCTTCTCATCGAGAGCAGGACGGGAAACCTCTCCGCTCCTCCCCTCACCCACCTGTCCTCTCCTCTTCCTCCTCCTCGTCCCCTCCTGTGCTCGCAGCCTCCTCCCCTCACCCACCGACCCTCTCCTCCTCTGCATCTCCTCCCATCCTCTCTTCATCCTCCTCCTCTTCTCCCCATCCTCCCATCCTGTCGGCCTCCACAAGCCCAGTCCCCATCACCAGCCGCTCCCTCACCCTGCTCAGAGAGGTGAGAAGAGGTGACGGAAACACGTCAGTGTTGACTGTATCAAAATATGCCACAAGTTAGAGCATTGATGCAAGCTGTAATGATATAAAGATGAATACTGTTTAATTGGAGAGGTGCTGCTAATGGTGTCAACAGATTAATGAGATGTGACTTTAAAGAGATTAGTTGATGAGACGGCACCTTTTTAATACAATCTCAAGCGAGGTGTTGCGTAAAATTAAATGATTAATCTTGAGATGGTATTGTACTTGTACTTGAGGAGAAGCAGCGTGATTGACACTACATGATGAAAGTGGCTGATACCTGAATATTAAAAGTGAGATACGATGCTCAGTGACTACAAGGTCAGATCAGATAGAGTACAGAGAAGATGTTAGAGACGTGTTATGTCTGGAAAACAGCGGGATCCCATAGGATCCAGTATACAGTATATTCATGAGACATCTCTTTAACAGTAACAGTACTTGTTTTATGTCCAATGACACATATGCTGTCGTTTAATGGGGACCCCATATGTTTCAGCTGCAGAAAATAAAAGTCTGTCAGACATATTAAGCTTATCAACAATAGCCAATGTATTTATAGTATCACCTCACCTAACCCTACATAAAGGTAAATGTGTAGGATTTAAAAATAATTCACAACTGAACTGTTAGAAATGACAGTCAATTTCACTCTGTGGCCCCTTTGAGCAGGCTCTGTGTTTCACTGCTAGAGAGAAAAAGGAACAGCGTTGACACATTGCAGCAAAGCACATTAAGTTAAAATGGGCAATTGTTTATAATCAATGTAAACATACTGTGTTTCCATCAATAAAACTCCATCCGGGTAGGAAGACATTTCATAAATCACTGTTAAAAGAAACCAAGAGTCTACAGCCATGCTAAGAGCTCTGTTCGGCTCTACTTATATTGTGCTTTAAGATAAAGGCTTCAAGCATCAGCATTCAGCATCCTGACATGACATGACATGACATGACAATACAAACATGCTGATGTTTAGTAGGTACAATGTTCACCATCTTAGTGTAGCATGTTCAGTGAGTCAGTCAGTTCAGTATTTAAAGCCTTTAAATAAAAATGGCAACATTGCAGTATATAAATACTCATTGACAAGTAAAAGTCCTGTATTTTCAACTATGTGGTATGTATTATAAGCAAAATGTACCAAAAGTAAAAGAAAAATTATCCTTGAGTGTTACATTATTAAATATTATATATTATATTACTGGTAGCTAATTTCAACTATATTGATAACATGCTAACATTTGCTAATTACTAGTATATCTCTTTACCAGCTCTGGCAAAAGGATTCTGCCCTTTATATAAAACAAACAATCCTTAACACTCCAGGTGCTGATGTTTGAATTTTATATATGTCAGTCAATTAAATACTGTATTGTTTTGATGGGGTAAAATGTTTTGTGCTTGGTCCCATCATCTGTCACAGATGTTCTGTCGGACCCAGTGGCCATCTCCTGAGGAGTACAGCCAGCTGGAGGTCCAAACAAGCCTGGGACGCACCGACATTGTCCGCTGGTTCAAGGACCACCGCTCAGCACTGAAGAACGGTGAAACTCTGGACTGGATGGAAGGTTTCCAAAACCAGAACGTCGTTGAGCAGCAGAAAGCGGGCCATGAACAGAACAGCCAGAGTTCTGAGAAGAAACAGAGCGTTTCTTTGGAAGTCAAGGCTGTAAAAGGTGAGTTTTGGAGGAGAACATGGAGTAGTGTGTTTTTTTTGTCTTTCTTTTTAATATCATTTTTGGAAATTGTGTTATTCCCTTGTTTGACTTTGTGCTTTCTTTGTTTTTGTGCACATGCTTTATCACACAACCATTGTTGCAGTGGAGGAGGCAGGTGAGAAGACGGCAGCTACGGAGCACTCCAAGCTGTCAGAACAAGACAAAGTCCAGTGGTTGACTGACAGACTAGCACACAGTGTGACGGACCTGAGCCGGACCAGACCAGACCAGACTAGCTCTAGCGCTCCTGACAAAGGGAGGTGGGTGGAGAGACAAAAGCCAGATTTTTGTCTTATATTTATTTTGTGGTGTTAGATTCATGTTATACAGACAAAAAAGACCAGCTCACTGCCAATATTTAGTTTAAAGGAATTTCTGATGAGTTATTTTAAGTTTGTTTTTGTGAAAAATAAGACAGTGCATGGTTTATGACATCTTGCATTTAATGTGCAAAACAGGAAGAACAGAAAGAATGATTTTTTTGTTTCCAGTCCCTAGAGGGAGCCTGTTTGTGTTTAAACTTTGTGTCTTTTTCTTTGCCAGGTGGGTAAAGGTCAGTGTGGCAGTGGGGGAGGAGACTGAAGGAGAAGTGGAAAGACAGAGGCTTGCAACAGACTCTGATGTTTTGACCTTGGAGCAACCAGGGAGGGTCACTGGTTGATGGTAGGTTAAATAGGCGAAACAGCCCTTCAGTTAATTTTACTGCATTAAAATTAAAAACATCGAGTATAGACAAAATTAAGACATCGGATGTTGACATTACACTACATGTACAAAATGAAAGGGACATTTTCTATCTAATGCTGATGAGATGGATCAAGTTTAAAGCTGCTTTAATGAGTTTTTTAAATTTGTTTTGGGCACTTGGGGGCAGAACTTTACAACAAGCAAAAAAAAATCACACATCTGGCCTTGAGAAGATTATATTGCTAACATGTTAGCATCCATAAATATTAGCACTGATTTGGAGAAGACTCTGGCCACCTGATGAACATCTGGTGAAAAATATCTGGCTCTTTAGGTTGCTAGACGCTGTGCGGAACTTGCTGATTGTTTCTTTACCTTTTCTGCTTGTGGTGCTGGGCAGAAAGCATACAGTGGGTTTATCAAAGCTGCCTGTTGTGGCTGGACATGAAAGTTGTGGTTTGTGAAACCAAAACAATGAGCTGAAAGACGCTGCAAAGCTGGATAGAGCCCAGGGAAACTGCAAACAGGTGATAATTCTTTGTGGATTCATCATGAACAACACCCTTCACATAACGCATAGTAATTTGAAATGTTGTTAATATGAAAATCCTGATCAGTGCAGCTTTAAATAAATGAAGATTTTATTACATCTGTACAAATAAACAACTGTGCCAGTCATAAGAGGGTTAAGTGTAGGTGAAACCAAGAAGACAAATTACACATGGCTTTTCACCCAGTGCATGCTGGGATATGCTCCAGTACTCTGTGACCCTGACCAGGAATAACTGGCTATGGAGAATGGATTGATGGGCGGACAGATGCTGGAGTTGGATATGGATTTTGAAAACGTCACTGTGTGACTTGGCTCATGTCAATGAATAAATAAATGGTGAGCTGTTCGTTTAGGATGCCACAGCTGCAGCCCCCAGCTACCCAGGAAGTTATTAGTGTGTAATTACCTCTAACTGGTCCTTCAGAAAGATGGCATGCTGGGAAGGCAGGATGATATTTGGACCACACCATCATTAGCATCGTACATGTTGACAGCTCCCCCACCCCACACACACACACACACACACACACACACACACACACACACACACACACACACACCATTACTGCAGATGATGGAGAATTTCCATTTCATTTTATAAAAATTTGCACTTTAGTATCCAAAAAGGTTTTGTTTTTATTTCATGTCCATAACAATTGATGATTTTTAAATTTCTCAGTGACCACTTCAATCACTTAATCTGGGAACAGTATTGATAAAATAATAAATGTCTGATTTCTGATTATGTTCCAGGTTGAGCAAATCATTGACCTCTGAGTCAGACCACCATCCGATGACCCTGAATGACTGAAATGTGGAACCAGTGATGTAATTGTCTGCCTGTGATGTCATCACAAAGCGCCGGGGACTTTGGAGTGCCACTGTTAAAGCACTGATGTGAGGTGCAGATGCTGACATTAAGAGGAGTGCCAAAGCTGGACTTGATGCATTGTTCTTACTACTACTACTAGAGTTTTTAAAAAAAAACACAAAAACAAAAAAACAAAACAGAAGCACCCTTGTAAATATTTTTCTGTATTACAAAAAAAGTTTGTACAGTTTTACTGGGAGGGCAAGTTTTGTTACATTTTTAAAAAAAAAAAAAAAAAAAAGTCTGACTGGTGCCCCAAAACCTGAAATGTTTTTTTGTTGTTGTTGTTGTTTTAAGATCAAAGTGTATGAGTCTGTTTTTCACTGAAAATCAGTCCTAACCCTTTTTTTTTTTTTTTTTCGAAAATCATACTTGCACACTTCTTTATGAGCAGTCTTTGATGGCACTTGCATATATCCCTGCTGTATTGATAGATATTCTCATGATAGGCCTCTTCATCTCCAATTTCAACTTTTCCTTTTCTCTTGCACCGTCACCTTGACTCGCATTCATAGAATCACACTGGTGAAGGTGGAAATCACTCAAACGCGCTGGAGAACCAGTCAGGAGGAATAACAGTGTTTTGGGTAATCTGAACGCAGCTACAGCTACAGCCTCACTGTGGAGGAGAGGGAACACAGCCACATGATCAGACCAAGACTAACAGCATTAGGGGAAATGAATGAATGCACTGTACATCCTAACTTATTCTATCTTTTCTCATCAGCTGTATACCTGGGGCATGTTCATGAAACAGTACAGAATGTTCCTTTTCTGACAAATGATTAATCACACAGAGAGAAGTGTCTGTTCAATCACACCATGCTGCCTTTTCAGCTCTTATCTGATTTCAACGTATCAGATCTTTTGTTTTTAAAAACTTGAAATATTCTCGACGGAACTTGCCAAGAACATTTTGGTGAAAGTATTAAACGCATGATAAAATAAACAAAGTTCCTTTATTTGAACCATTTCAGAAATCCATTTTCTCTGTGTTGTGATCTGTGAACACACCTCTCGTCTTTTCTCTTGGCTTTCTGGCTTTTGATAGGTCCATCTATTCCAAGCAGAACCGGGTTCAGTTGATTGCTGCTCAGTCAGTTCACAACAACCAAAATGGGGGCTCATGTACCTGTGTTACAGAGATAAATGATCAAACTGCGGATTTTATTTGAAATCGTTTGCAAAGCTGTCATGAACTGCTTGCATGTGCTTCAACAATTTTCCTTTTTTAAAAATACATTTTAAGAAATGATTTAAAGGGATTTCTGTGATTTATGGGTGTAATTCCTTGCAATATTTGTGCAAGTGAAAAAAAGTTCAGTCCAGCTGTCATTTTGAATTGACGATAACCCTGGTTTGAACAGCAGGTGTATGGCTGTTTGCTGGCTGAATGTCTCTGCTGCTGCTTTAGTTTCATGTTCAGACAAGTATCTGAGATACTGTACACTTGGTTCGCTAGTATGGAAAACCGCTTGCATTTTCATTTTCTACTTTAAGTCTGCTGTAACTCAATAAACACACAACTGACTGTAAAACCCTCTTGGTCTTCCCGTGTAAAATGTATGAAAATTAGAAACATAAAATGCTTGTTTACTTCAAGACAAAATGATTCTGTACAAAAGTGGCAACAAAGTGGAACGAAGGTCCAGTGAAGAGTGGAGCACACAACAAGCCTTAAAACACTGAAACGCCATTTCTAGACTGTACTCTGCTTCGCCATGTTTCTGCTGGGTTTGGTTGAAGTAGACAGGGTCTTTTTGCGTCATTGAAGTGATGCATTTGTTTGAGCCCATTTTTAATCTCAAGCAGCTCCAATTATTTCTCCTCACAGTTTGTTAAGGACTTAATTTGGACCATGGGAAATGTATTTGTGTAACACAAAACATTGTATGTGTTTGCCTTTTAGTCTGTTAGCAGATTAAGTGGCAACTACAGAGCAGTCAGTGGAACAATATGTAACAAAAACTTTCCTGCCATCAACCCTCTGCACACTACAATAACTTTTACCTTTTTGGGCACAAATGTGACTAATAAAAGGCTGAGGTCCATAAAGTAATAATAAATCTTGATACATTTTGTGGCGAGGTACCTCACTTGATAGCAGCCTCATGAGGGGCTCTGTCAATTTAAGCTCGAGTGCCCCTTGTTCAAATGCAATTAACCAATTCAACTAAAGCTTACCATAAGAGCACAGATGCATCATTTCATTTGCACAAGAAATCCAAGGAAGTGCCAATAAACTGGAAAACAAAGCTATATAAATAAATTCCACAAATGGAAAAACAGACTTTTAAATTGTTCTGATTTGCAGCTTTCTTTGTTTTATGTCATAGTGAAATGAATATCTTGGGGTTTTGGTCTGTTGTTCAAACAAACAAACAAAACTTTTTTCACAAATTTCTGAAATTTATAGAACAAGAATCGCAAAATTCATTGGAAGATTAATCAATCACGAAAATAAACGTTAGTATCAGCCCCAATTGTACTACACTTAGACGTGATTAGCTGAGCTGTCCTGACTCTTGGAATGGCTTAGAAAAATGAATAGCAGGATAATCATACACTCAGACTCACTTGTCTTTTCAATAAACAACTGTTATATTTACAAAAAAAAAAGAGCAAAATCCCATTTTCACCTCATTTTGGTTAAGATCACATCTTTTGACAGAGAAAGATCAGGTCTGTGCCACAGGGCCTTAAAAACATCTTACACCCATGTAAATTCAGACCTGGAAACAGCGCTCTCTAAATAGCTTTGCCCATGTTCTGTGAAGGGAGGCTGAGAGCACACTCCCAGTGCGTTGGTAATTACAATGTAATCTGATATGGCAACACAGAGACAGAGAGGACAGGAACCCAAGAGTCAGAGTCAACAGCGTGCTGGTGTGCAGCTGCAACATCTCTTGTCTTGACAGTCCAATGGCAGGGTGTGGAATAAAGGTGGAGGAGGGATGGAAAGAAGAGTACAGAAAGAAAGAAGAAAAGGGGAGAGGGGATCAAGAATCATCACATAAAAAAAAATGATTTATTCAGATTTTCTTCTATCTGCTTCACATGGACACATCCGCAGTAGTTAATAGTAGAGCTGGCTTTACTTGGTAAACTGAGCCTATAGCCAGAGTCTGAGTCCTGCTGTGTGCTGCTGTCTTAGTTAAAATGCGTGCTTCCTCAGATTTCATCCTGTTATAACCTTTAAAACTAAACATGAGGTTCAAGGTTTCATCCCCTCAAACAGAGAAGAATGTGAAGAAGCAAGCATCTTAACCTGCACCACCAGCTGCGCGGCCATTTGTTATTGGGAGCTAAGGAGGAGGGTGTCGCCATCTCCTCTTGCCTCCTCTCATTCTCCCCCCAGGCGGAAGCCTTGGCCCCAGTTGTGGCGTCCTCCCCCACCGCCGCCTCCTCCTCCTCCCGCCTGCTCCTGGGCAGCTGGTCTCCTGCTGGGAGGGACTCCAAAGCCCGACACCCCTCCCCTCTTGTTAGGGAAATACCGATACCTGGAGAGAGAGGGAGAGAGGTGAAAATGTGATCTTAAAACATTTGAAATGGAGGAATTTTATTAAGAAAACTTAGTATTAGCGTCTTTTGTTATGTTGTTGCTGTGTGACTGGGTGGCAAAACTAGCTTTGCCTCCCAGAGATTTAGTCAAACATCTAAAATACTTGTTTGGAAGTAAAACCAAAACTGAATTCAAATTATTGTTTACTTCTTAGTCAAAGCGGCTGCAGGAAAACCTGCACACAAAATACAGATGGTTCAAGTTGAAGATGTAACATTTACAACACAGTGTTTGGGAAATAATCGTAACCTTCTCACATGTTTTTGTCAGCTCACTGGGGCAACACATGGTAATTATAGCATAATGGTAAATGCAACAGTAACAGACAGTCAGAAAAATAAGCACTGACGTTTTCAAACAACAGCTACTATTAGCCACAATAAGCAACTGGTCATACCAGACCAAGTAAGTCTGGAGCAGGAAAACCCCTGAGTATGTTAAAATGAGTAAGTGTGCGTTTTATTCCTTATGAATTCATCCTTTCATTTGTAAGAGGACAGATGTCTTTTTTCTCCTTTAAGAAATTATATAGTCTCCAAATCTCAGCAAAGAAGTTGGTGAGTATAACATAAAACCAAGGTTGTTTAAAAAAAAAAAAAAAAAAAAAACTTACAAGAACTCTGGTGTAGAGAGGAAGGAGCGTCCACCCAGGTCCATGGGGTATTTGAACATGAGGAAGAAGTAGAGGTGACCCACCAGGTTCCCTGTCAGTTCATTCACAAATCTGTGCAGTGGCAGCAAAGAGAAGAAGTTTTTGAGGTTATTCACTACTACTGAAATACAGAAAAAACATTTCTTATTAACTTCAAGACATTGGACCTACATTTATGGTACAGTTTGTTAAAAATCTATTAAAATAATCTATGAAATTATTGACTTTAACGAATTTAAAATTGTTACTTACGAGCCTCCAATGATGAAGTTGAAGACCAGGATGACCCAAGGTAGATAATGTGCCTAGGACAGGGCAAAAGAAAATATGAAGTATATCATTAATGTGACTATTACAATTATCTCCATGTTGAGTAATTAAAAAGAGGTCAACTTCAGGTAGTAAATGTTACATGGATTAATGATGACAAGATGGCAAGATCCCATAAACACCAATATTACTATGAAATATGAGCTACCTTTTAAAAGCCTGTTTACTAGGTTAAAATGTACCATTTGATATGTAACAAGTGTTAAACATAAAGCATGAGGTACCTTGAATCGTGTGCCGAACCAGAAGGACACAATCATGTCTTTGTTGAACTGAGCCCAGACGTACAACACTGACATGATCAGTGGGATCATCAGCAGCTGAAAACGCAAACAACAACATGAATCCAGCCAAAAAGCATCAACACCACAGCTGTGTACAGACTATATGTACTTTTCCTCTATCCTTTCTTTACCGTTACTGTTTTTAAGTGTATCACTTCTTCAGTCTGTTCATCATAAATAGATAATCCATTCACTTCACATACTGACCACTCAACATGTTAAAGACGACAATCATAATTAAAAGCCTAATAATTCCTACACTTATTTATGGCTTAGCTTTTATTATACCTGGACAGGAAAACCCAGGGCTGAGTGAGTTTACTGGTAACCAGCTATGCTCAGTGAAGCCAGGTGACACAAAGAGAGCCCAAGCTGAACTTCCTTCATGATACTGGTTTGCACAGACTTGATTTTTATT